ACCTTTAAATTTTTTTATTTCTTTAAATTGAAATAGTACATACGGATTTGCAGAGTACATAGAGATGTATGTATATTAGGGTGCCCATCGAAAATCGTTCTTTTGTACGTTAGTACTACATATTTTCAAATTGTGGAAATTATCGATGGTCTAATTTTAAAAAATTCTTTGAAATTCAAGCAAAAATAGTCATTCAAAAACTCATGAATCTAGAAAATCGTAGTTTCTGACCTAAATCGACAGGCCGCGACCTCTAAATGGCCTTTAAAAAATCTATAAAAATAGGCAATAATATTTCTCATAAAAACGAATCAAATTAGGGGGTTGGGTCTTTAAATTTTCAAAAAAAGCATTTTCGATGGTAAACCTAATGTATGTACTATATAGACTTTCTTCTGTTCGGCAGCAGTCAATGAATGAATTAAATAGAATTATAATCTGATGACATGATAAGATTAGAAGCTTCATGGCTCTTTGGAATCTACCTTATGGGCAGTAGCGCCGGCGTTTCCAGACGCGCCGGCGTCGCCGCCGCCGCCGATTATTTTTGAAGTTGACCACGCCGCCGCCGCAAAGCCTGTCGGCGTAAACCTCTAGCATGCATGGCTGCAACTGATAAAAATCGCCCAACTCTCAACTTTTGACGCGCGTGAATGCGGCAAAACAACAATGTATGAAACGAATTCAAACCAGCTGACTTTTTGCCAATCAAAATGAGCCGTTTTGTTTGCGGCAACGTTTTCATTGTGCCGCCTCCCCATGTTATATGCGTCTTGTCAGTCAAAATCATCCCTGTGACGCAGTAAAGAATTTCTATTTGGCGGGGCCTTGAGACTTATTATGTAATTTAAATAAAGCTAAAGATACAAGTTTATTTTTATACCCGAGCGCACTTGTGCACAAGGGTATATTAATTTTGTTCACATAACGGTTGTTTGTAACAGCCAAAACGAATCGAGATAGATATAGACAAATGTATACATAAATGCTCAGAATGAATAGAGAAGTCGACTAAGCCATGTCTGTCTGTCCGTCCGTCCGTGTACACGATAACTCGAGCAAAAATTGAGATATCTCAACGAAATTTGGTACGTAGGTTTCCATTTATCCAAGACAGGTTGGTATTGAAAATGGGCGAAATCGGACA